AACCTTTTCATCTCTTTGCCTATTTCGGGCCTCCCCCTCTAGCCATACACAACGCCGACTGGGTCGGGCAGATTCTCCCCCACGCTGCAGGGATTCGCGACTGGCCGAGCTTTTTCAAGAAGTTCAGACCGGCTCTCCATTCTGCATGTAACTTCTCTTTTTGGTTATGATCGTTGTGTCTATTTGTTGTATATTGACTTGCTTCATTGTAAACTTCTATGTTTCTTCCTTTCCTAGGTCCAGTTAGGGGGTCTTCTCGAAAGAGCAGGGCTTTTGTGCCCCTTTTTAGGAGAAGGGCTGCTACACCTTCGGTTTCTACCGCCGTCGTGGCTATTACGCCTTTTGCACCCGCCCCCGTTCACTGGTTGATGGGTACGATGATGTCTTGCCTGGTGATGGGGATCTAAGGCCTCGCAAGAGGAGAGTCGTAGATGCTGGGGAGGGGGGAAATCCCGATGGCAATTAACTCAATGGAGGATGACTTGGTTCATCGAGAGATGGCAACGATACATATTGGAGAAGGCGCTGGGGAGATCTCCGAGTCCCCACAACTGGATGAGACGGCCGTGGACGTGCTAGTGCATCCCGATGGGAAGACGGCTGTGGAGTGGGCACTTGATGGCGGCCCTGCACTTTCGAGGCAATAGGAGGCTTCGTCCTCCAAGGCGACAATATATGTCTCTTCGCCAGTCGGTGATAGAGGGAAAGCCATCAATGAGGAGGATGACGAATCTGATTCCCACATGGACCTGGACGATCTAAGAATGATCGACGAGTGGCTCACCCAATTCGAAGTGAGGATGTAGGGAGGCTCTAGGACCATCACGATCACAATGGATCATGATTTGCTTATAAATACCGAGGAGGTAGTCCCTGCTCTCGGTCATCTCTGTTCTAAAGCCGAGGGTGAGACCTTCAAGAAGATAACTGACGGTACATTGTCGAAGAATATCGTCGGTCTCACTCTCAGGGTTAGTACAACTGTTATCCGCCCTTCTCCGTATGCCTTAGATAATTTTTAAGTTCTAACTTCTTTTCTTTGATTTGCATACGGTCATTCTAGAAATTGAGAGTGCTCGGAGGGAGAAAAGACGTAAAGAAATTTACGTGAATTTGAATAGAAAGTACATAGAGTGTCGTGGGAAGTACTGGGATCTTTGAAGGCGGCTTCGTGAGGGAGGTGACATGCTGGTCTTAATAGTATATTTGAATAGAAGGATGAGGAGTTGATGGCGGTCATGGAAAAGTTCAACGTCCTTGAGGGAACGTTAAAGGGCAAGGAAGAGGAGCTCGAGCTTAGTAAGGGCATGGAGGCCCAATGTAGCGACCTTCAAACTCAAGTAGTCCAATTGCAAGGTCAGTTAGACGAGTGCCAATTTCAGATGGAGGCTCTCAGGGGTGAGATTGCTGAGAAGCAGGTGGAGCTCGAGCAGGCGCAGTCTTCTCGATTGGATTCTCGGAGGAAGGTGGACATCCTTGGGCTGGCGAACAAAACTCTTACTTTTGAGCGGGAGAATGACCTGTCAACGACAAGGGTTAAGGAGGATCGTCTTGAGGAGAGGATCGGGGAGATGGACAAGGAAAACTCTGAACTATATGGTCTAGTTGCCGCTCTGAAGGTCGAGAAACCAACTGCTCGCGCGACCTTCTACGACTAATGCTTCTAATTTCCCTAACATCCCTCAGGAGCTGTATGAAGAGTGGATCCATGTTGAAGCCCTACTGGATGTGTTTCATGACTTGCATGCAATGGGATCCATTTCTGGACAGCTCTTGAGGATGCTCGGGTCAAGGCTCGAGAGCTCGGCTTTCTTGTGGCTATGATCTTGCTATGCCTCAGCCTGGTGAGGATGATGAGGAAGAAGGCGTATATCGGCTCGAGGAAGATGCATGGTATGATTCCGCTTACCCTCAGGGCGAGGATTGAGAGGATGCTAGAGGCCGAGATGGTGACGGTGTTGACGACCAGGGTTACGTCATTGAAGGCCGAGATAGCGAGGGTGTTGAGGGCCATGATGGCGATGGCCAGTAGTTTTCTTTTAACTTTTTGTGTGTTTTTGTCGGCTTCTTCGAGCGCCTTTGTAAAAAACTCTTTCTCTAAATATGAATATCAAAGTTGATCCTTGTACCTTTTTCATTCCTGCGATTTGTTTCTATACTTGTATGTTTTTGCTTATGTGTTTGCATATTTCATTTTTTAATCATTTTTTGTTGTTATCGCCTTCTAGTTGACCGTATACTTTGAGCCGAATAGCCCTGGGCCATATTGGCCCTTTTCTCATATAGGTCGAGTATGTCTCTTAGTTGAGATGTGCCCGAGGTCGTTAGGTGTTGTTCGAGCTTGGTCGAACTTAAACTTTCGTTAAGTCGTGCCTAAGGGCTGATAGGTGTTATTCAAGCTTGGTCAAACTTAACCTTTCGTTAAGACGTGGCTAAGGGGCGATAGGTGTTGTTCGAGCTTTGTCGAATGTAACCTTTTGTTAAGTCGTGGCCGAGGGCCGATAGGTGTTGTTCGAGCTTAGTCGAATGTAACCTTTCATTAAGTCATGGCCGAGGGACGGTAGGTGTTGTTCGAGCTTAGTCGAATGTAACCTTTCATTAAGTCATGGCCGAGGGACGGTAGGTGTTGTTCGAGCTTGGTCAAACATAACCTTTTGTTAGAGCAGTTTCGATAAACGTGATTTTTTTAATTACTTTGGCGTTGTTGCTCAGATTACATTATTTTTGCCTTGGATAATTTTTGGAGAAAGTTACTGTAGGGGTCAAAATCCATCTTTAGTCAAAATGGTATTAGTAAAACATTCCTGAGATGCCACGTGCCGAAGTAATCTAATTAACAACGGAGGTCGTGGTCGAAGAGTCAGCATGGATTGAGGCCGAGGTTGAGCACCCTTGACAAAGTTATAACGACTAGTTTCAAGAAAGGACAGAAAAAAGAATATTCTAGTGGATATTATCTGCACTTGTACTGTTAGGGTTTTTAGAAATATGTTCCCTATAAATAGAAGGAGACACAATGATAGGGGACATGTGATATTCATTTGTAAAATACACTTTGACTTTAGATAGAGAATCATATCTGTTGCAAGCATACAAACATCACCTTTTTACTAAGATTCTGGTCTACACTATTCATTGGATCCGAGAATAACTCTGATATTCAAAGGATTATCCATCAATCATCATTGTCAGAAAGAGCATTCACTGTTTCCATCCTTTCTTGGGTGACTTATTCGTTCTATTTAGTTGAATTCCATTTATTGTTGTTCATCAATATTTAATGCTACCTTATTTCCTTTGACTTCTTAAATATTGTTGTGTGCTGCGGTTGCCATTAAAATATTCCAACGTAGTATTTATTGCACTTCTTAGAACCTCATCTTTGGGATATTATTGTTAACTAAGATTAACTCTCATTTATATAAATTTAATTAGTTAAACCAAGATCTATATTTTTTGGTCAAACAATTTGGCGCCGTCTGTGGGGATTGTTTAGTTAAATTTTTAGTTTCCTCTAGATCTACAATTAACGCAAGTCACTAACATCAAAAACCCTGAGATCTCCTTTCTTTGTGCATACAAAACCCTACATGGCAGGTAACCAAGGATAAAGGACAAAAATAACAAGTGATATCCCTAGCAAACTCATGAATATTATCAACGAAAGCTGTGAAATAGTAGGCGAGGATGTGATGCCCAACGCGTCCCCTAGACGCGAGAGGTCACCTCCCCCACACTGCAGCATAACAAAACCCAGTGGAAAATGTGCCTCCACGTCTGCAGAAGAAGGGCCCAGATGTGAAAAAACTCCTTGAAGCATGGCTGATCGACATGCCAGTGAGCGTCCACAACAAATATTCTCCAGGCATGACTGCAGAAACCGCAATAGCTTGCATGATACAACAAACAGACGGGCAGTGCAACTGACCAAACGCTCCGACAATAGGTATAACTCACAATATTACTAACAGTGCAGGTGACAACCCCTCGCTTCCGTTTTAAATAGGATGGAAGAAATGGAGAATGAAAACAAAGCACTCTGAGATTAGATGAAAGAACACCAAGAACGAGTCGACAAGATACCGACCGCTCCTAATCTGCTGCCAAAAAGTGACGCCGACAGGTTCGTAGTGCAGCCGTACAGTGATGATGTAGCCACACATGCCATACCAAAGACCTTCAAAATGCTTCCCTACCTCAGGATATACGACGCAACGACCGATCCTGAGGATCATGTGACTTACTACGTCACCACCGTTAAAGGCAATTACCTCGCCAAGGACTATGTGTCCTCTATTTTGCTGAAAAATTTTGGCGAAACCCTTACGAGAGGGGCATTAATATGGTATTCACCGCTACCAGCCCGCTCCATAGAAACCTTTGAGAAAATGACCGATAAGTTCGTAACCGCCCATGCTGGAGCGAAGATGGCCGAAGAAAGAGCAACCGACATATTCACTATTAAGAAGTCCTTAGGAGAGGGACTAAGGGACTTCCTCGCCCGGTTCAACAGAGTAAGGATGACTCTGCCAAATGAATCCGAAGGGATGGCAGTCGCCACTTTCCAGAACGGACTGAGTAGGGATGGTTCAAGAGCAACTAGATAACTGTTGAGCCGATTGATGAAATATCCCCCAGTAACTTGGGATAAAATCTATAATGTTTATTGTGTTGAGGTACAAGCAGACAAAAACAACCTCAACGGACCAACTCACCAGCTAACATCGGTGCAAACCGAATCTAGAAGTGAACGAAGAGACAACATCAGGAGGTATTACCCAGTTTCACGACCCAACATGGAACAACATTAATCATATGTCAGGGCGTCCACCGCACCTTCCCCTTGCTATGAAGAAGGCCCATCCAGGCCAAGGACAGGGACTCATCAGAACGAAAGAGGCATGGCCCCTTTATTATGTACTCACAATTTTTGTTTGTCACCTACAGAAATAGTCTACGTTTTTGAGAAACTCAGAACAAAGGTGAAGTGGCCGTCGAAAATGAGATCAGATCCAAACACCAGAAAATCCAACGCCCTCTGTGAGTTCCACCAGGAATGTGGGCGCAAAACGGAAGATTGCATCGCCCTCAGACAAGAAGTCGTAAACATATTGCGGAAGAAACACCTCAAAGAGCTGTTAAGAGACAAGGGGAGAACCAATTTTGCCAGAGAATGTGAACACCAAGGCCCGCCGAAGCCACCATCACCAGCTCGCACTATCAACATAATCATCGGCGGCAATGATGATGCCTCTATCAACGACGTGAAATTCACCACCACTCACAAGCTCAAGCGGTCTATCACACGTGAACGATACTATAAACTCAAAGAAAGTATCATCTTCGATGAGTTGTATGTCGACGGTTTGACTTTACCTCATAATGATGCCCTCGTTATTACTGTACGCATTTTAGATACCAATGTAAAACGCATCATGATGGACGATGGAAGTGGAGCATGCATTATCCAACCCCGAGTCCTCACCCATAATGCAGTTGAACGGACGTCCGGGGAAATTACACTCCTCATTTTGGCCGGCAGCGGGACTCTAGAGACGACATTCCACATCATGGATCAGGCCACCGCGTACAACGCCATCGTGGGACGACCATGGATACATCCCATGAGGGCCATCCCCTCCAGCCTTTACCAAGAATTAAATTCCCAACACCATAGGGTATATTCAGCATACACGGAGAACAATGCGTCCCGGGAATGCTACCGTATTATCTTAGACAACACGGCAACCAAACAGAAAAAAGACAAGCAAAACAAGGCATAGAAATCAACAAGGCCGAGGTTGACACAAGAAGAGATGGGGGATGTCATTGTGGATCTCGACACGGTCGAGGCTGCAGATTCGATCATAGAAGACCTCGACCCCATTTAATTGGATTTCAACGACCATAGAAAAAGGCCTATATCAGCTACAACCTCCGGGAACCAGGTAAATTCAGTCGATTCTTAATATCTAATGCAGAATTATTTGCCTTCAGCCATGCAGATATGCCGAGCATCCCAAGGAAAATCGCCACACACAAATTAAACGTCGAACCGTTCCACCCTAGTAAGACAGGTCAGGCATAAATTCAACTCTGCCATCAACGATGCAGTCCGCAAGGAGGTGGAAAAACTGTTAAAGAATGGCTCCATCATGGAGTCGAAGTAACCCAAGTGGATTACCAACGTAGTGATAGTAAAAAAGAAAAATGGGAAATGGCGGATGTGCGTGGATTTCAAAGACTTGAACAAAGCATGTCCGAAGGATTCATTCCCATTACCCTATATCGACCAACTTATTGATGCAATAGCCAGGCATGAACTATTTAGTTTCTTGGACGCTTACTCAGGATATAACCAAATTCTTTTGGAGGAAGAAGACCAAGAGAAGACCACATTCATCACCCACCAAGGAACATATTGTTATAGGGTCATGCCGTTTGGGCTAAAGAACGCATGGGCTACATATCATGGAGGTAAAACCATGCCTCAGGAAAGTTCTTAGGCTTTTTGTGTCTCATCAAGGGATCGAGGTCAACCCAGACCAAATCAAATCTATCGAGGGGATACCGGAACTCTTAACCACCAAAAAACAAGTCCAAAGGTTGACTGGACGAATCGCCACCTTATCGAGATTTATCTTGCGGTCGTCGGATAGATGTCACAAATTTTTTGGCATTCTCAAAAATGACAACAGCCTCGAATGGACTCCCGAGTGCGCCCAGGCTCTACGAGAACTGAAGGAATACCTATCATCACCACCCATGCTTTCAAAACCCGAACATGGGAAGCAACTTCTTGTTTATCTAGCTGTCTTTGAGGAAGCGGTAAGAGTAGTCTTGATCCGCAAAAACAAAGGTACACCATCTCCCATCTATTACATTAGCAAAACACTCATCGATGCCGAGATGAGGTACCCGCACCTCAAAAAATTGGCTATGGCCTTGTTCGTAGCTTCACAAAAGCTTAGACTCCATTTCTAATATCACCCCATCTCGGTCGTCACAACCTTTCCCTTGAGGAGCATTTTGCATAAACCTGAGCTATCTGGGAGGCTGGCCAAAGAAGCCATCGATCTAAGCGAGCACGATATCATATACCAATCACGAACAGCGATAAAGTCGCAAATGCTTGCGACTTCAGTGCAAAAATAATGCTTGAAGTCGAAAGGGAAGCAGTCCAAGCTTCCCTCCAAACACAAGATCTCTGGGTCCTATAAACTGATGGCACATCTAACGCATCAGGGTCCGGACTGGGACTCGTACTCGAGGTCCCTACAAGCGAAGTAATTTTCCAGTCCATACGGTGCCCGACTATGACTAACAATGAGGCCGAGTATGAGGCCGTAATTTCAAGGTTAAGGTTAGCGTTCAAGTATGGGGCGAAACGGTTGAAACTCCACTGTGATTCCCAGCTCTTAGTCAACCAAGTCATAGGGACTTTCCAAATCAAGGAACAAAGGTTGCAAAAATACCAGACCGAAATCTGCAAGCTATTACCTCAGTTCGATGAATGCCAGCTCGACCAGATCCTACGGATACAGAATGTCGAGGCAGATGGCCTCGCCAAACTGGCCGCATCTACCAAAAGCACCACGACCGGTGTTAAAAGCGTAGTCTATCTCCTCAACTCATCACTAGACCAAATCGAGGTAAGAACCATAAACTTAACTTGGGAATGGCGCAATCGTATTATCGTATATTTGTAGGATGGCACACTCCCAGGCGATAAGAAAGAAGCCAAGAAACTAAGAATGCAAGCGGCCAGATACAGTCTCCTTCATAACGACCTATACAAAAGGACTTACGGCGGCCCTCTGACAAAATCTTTGGGCCCGAACCAAACCCAGCGCGTCCTCGAAGAAGTAAATGAAGGACATTGTGGTGCTCACTTCGACAATCAAGCACTGGTCAGATGCTTCATACGGGCGGGATACTCTTAGCCCACTATGAAAAAGGATGCCGCAGACTTTGTAAGAAAATGCAAATAGTGCCAAAAGTAAACCCCAATGATTCACTAAGTAGGTGAACACCTCCACTCGGTCACCTCCCTTTGGTCGTTCATCAAATGGGGAATGGACATCTTGGGGCCCCTCCCAGTAGGGCGCGATAATGTATGATTCATTTTGGTTTAACTGACTATTTCTCTAAATAGGTGGAAGCAGGAGCATTTACCCAAATACGGGAACAAGAGGTAATCACCTTTATATGGAGAAACATCATCTGCAGATTCGGCCTACCCAAGGAGATCAGCTGTGACAACGGACCCCAGTTCACGGGAAAGAAAATCGCCAAGTTCTTCGAGAAATGGCATATTAAGAGGATACTCTCAACCCCATATCACCCAATGGGTAACGGGCAAGCAGAATCCTCCAAGAAGTCCATACTTAACATCATCAAGAAAAAGTTCGAAGACACCAATGGACTATGGCAAAAATACTACCAGAAGTATTATGGGCCTACCGAACAACTCCAAAGAAGAGTATAGAAGAGATGGCCTACTCTTTGGTCTATGGGACTATGGCTGTAATACCGGTCAAGGTCGGAGAACCCAACCTAAGCTACTCCCACAAAAGTGTCACGAGTAACGATGAAAGCAGAAGGCACTCGACGAAATTGATGAACGAAGATATATGGCGTACATAAGAATGGTCGCCCAAAACAACAAGTAAAACTCTATTACGACAAGAAAGCAAAGGTCTGGCTGCTTAAAGTCGGGGACTACGTACTAAAATCCTAAACTCAAGCAAGCAAAGACCCCCGGGAAGGCAAGCTGAGAACAAACTGGGATGGTCCGTACAAAATCATAGCCAAAGATAATAAGGGTTCATTCCAACTAGAGGCAATGGAAGGAAAGCAACTACCAAACAACTGGAACATCAGCCACCTCAAATACTTCAACTTCTGAGAGAAAAGGTGTCCCCCAAGTCGTACTCCTTTTCCCTCACTTGAGTTTTGTCCCATTTGAGTTTTCTCAAGGAGGTTTTTACCGAGGCGGTGAAGGGATCACTTTGAGTCAAAGTATGCGAGGGTAGGACCATTGTTACTATTTCATTGCTCGACTTCTCAATACTCTCAAAGTCAAACAATGAAGGGACTAGGTAGACTGGGACTGGGACTAGGACTGGAACACCAGCCAACACCCAAAATCTGTAACTTTCTCCAAGTATGTAACCAAAACAACAATGTCAAAATAATAAGAAACTTACGTTTATCATGACACCTTTTTCGTATTTAGGTTATGTTCGACCTCGCTCGAACAACACCTACCGGCCCTCGGTCGCGATTTAAGGAAAGGTTACGTTCGACCCCGGTCGAACAAATATCTATCGGCCCTCGACCGCAATTTAATAAAAGGTTATGATCGACCAAGCTTGAACAAATATCTACCGGCCCTCGGCCGCGGTTAACAAAAGGTTATGTTCGACCAAGCTCGAACAAATACCTACCGGCCCTCGGCCGTGATTTAATGAAAGATATTGTTCGATTAGCTCGAACAAACATTTAACGAAAGGTTATGTAGGTTATGTTCGACTAAGCTCGAACAAATACCTACCGGCCCTCGGCCGCGATCTAACAAAAGATTATGATTCGACCTCGTTCGAACAAACACCTATCGGCCCTCGGCCACAAAGAAATGCACATAACCTATGAATATTCGGCTCCAAGGCTACGATCATCTGAAAAAAACAATAAGAAGAACGAAATCAAAACGAGCAAACAATAGAAGCAAAAAACATACAAGTATAGAAAATAAACCACAGGAAGGGAAAAGGATGCAAGGAACAACTTTGACATTTCATACTTAAAATGCTTACAAAGGCTTGTGAATACGCCGACAAAACTATACAAAAATGTCAAAAAGAAAACTAGTGGTCATCGCCATCATGACCTTCAGTGCCCTCGCCAACTCGGTCTTCAATGGCGTTGCCACCCCGACCACCAAGACCCTCACCATCTCGACCCCCCTCGCCATCGCCACCTTCGCCCTCAGGATAAGCGGTATCGTACTAGACGTTCTCGTCAATTCGATCTACACCCTCATCCCCATCCTATTAATCAGCCACAAGTGTAGCGAGATCATATCCACAAGCGACTCGAGCTTACGAGCCTTAACATGAACATCTTCAAGGGCAGCCTCAGAAACGGACCTCACCGCATGCAAATCTCGAAATATATCTAACTGGGCCTCGGCATGAATCTATTCTTCATATAACTCCCGAGGTACATTGGAAAAATCTGAAGTGCGGGAAAAGGATGGATGTGCAACTAATTGGGCCTTCTTGGCATCCAAAGCGGCAACCCGATTATGAAGAACAGAGTTATCTTTCTCCAGCTCTCCGATCCTCTCCTCGAGTCGATCTTCCTTAGCTCTCACCATTGATTGATCATTCTCCCTCCCACTTGGATCGGAGAGTCCTATTCGCCAACCCAAGGATCTTCATCTTCCTCCGAGCATCAAAACAAGAGGACTCCACTTTTTCAAGCTCCTTTTGCTTCTCGGTGATCTCACTATTGAGGGCCTCCAGCTGAAGTTGACATCTTCTAACTGCCCCCGTAACTCGTACACTTGAGCTTGAAGGTCGCTGCATTGGGCCTCCACGCCCTTGCTGACCTCAAGCTCCTCTTACTACTCCTCAATGCCCCCTCAAGGACGCTACATTTCTCGACGGCCTTCACCAACTCATCATCTTTCTCTTTTAACTTATCCCGAAGGGCCTGCATATCACTGCCTTCGCAAAATTTCCTGCAGAGATCTCGATACTTTCCACGATACTCAAAATAATTGTCTTTCAATTTCACAAAGATTTCTTTACGCATCTTCTCCCTTCGGGCATTCTCGATCTCCAAAATCACCGTCTGCAATCATAAAAAGGAAAGATAAGAAAAACGCCAGAACTAACGATGCCCTGAACAATAAAAAAAGAGGTCAAAGCACAAACACTCACCCGAAGAGCAAGGCCAGCAATGCTCCTCGACAAAGCACCATCATCTATTTTTTTAAGAGTCTTACCCTCTATCCCAGAATAGAGAGGGCCAAGGGTAGGGACTACATCCTCGGTGTTCTTCAAGCGGTCACAATTTATGGGATCGCGATAGTCCTTGTAGACCCGTCCAATCTTATCTCAAGATGGGTAATCCTTCTTCTATCATCCTCAGGTCATCCACATAAACGTCATAACCTGACTCAACGCCCTCCTCAACGATACCTTTGCCCTTCTCATTAGCAGGCAAGGAGGTATCTGCGACCGTCTGAGAAGTCGATGCCTCCTCTCGCCGCGAAGGGTGAAGAACATCAACAGCCATCTCTTCGGTCTCCATCACCGAAAAGGGAAGAGACATATCCACATCGGCTCCCACCGACCTTGGAGGCTCAAAACTCGGCTCGACATCATCCCCCACTACAATAGTCGCCACCTCATGCAGCAAAAAGTATCCTTCCACCACATCAACGGCTCGGGTGACTCCTTCACCGGCATCCATGGACCTCCTCTTTCGAGGTTGGAGATCTCCATCACCAGAAAAAGGCTCATCGTCCTCTTCTATGAGAGATTATAGAGAAGTAGCCGAAGTCTCCACGATCGAAGTGGAAACAGAGTCGGGCGCGACAACTGGAATAGTTGGGACAAAGATATGATTAGTCTCGGTCGAATCAAGGGCGGAAACTGAGGGCGTAGTAGCCTTTCTCTTTCAAAATGAGGGCGCGGGAGCTCTCGACCTTTTTGTAGACCCCATGGTTAAAGCTATGGAAAAACAGGAAAAGGGAAAGCCAACGAAAGATAACAGGCAAAGAAATCAAGGCGCTGATGATAAAAAGAAAAACTTACCTGCCGAGGGAGGAAACGACTGAAATCTCAGAGAGAAGCTCGACCAGTCGCGCACCCCCACTGTATGGGGAACGATCCATCTAACCCAATCATTAAAGTGGGTTACTATCTGAAAAGGCCAAATAGTAGCTGTAAAAAGAAGAAAACCGATTAACCAACCGATAACATGGAAAATATTGAAAACATGAAGTATGTAATCTAGTACGAGTACTCACAAGTAGGTTCTAAGCCTCGCGGAAGTCTGCGGCGGTGGACATTACGTCTTCGGTCCTAACGTAGAAGTAGTCGAGCCTTAAGTGCCGACTAGCTTTGTCATCTATACTCACCACCAAGCATTTTCCCCTGGACACACGTTGTAGTACTTTCATAAGTATTCTATCAATGGCCTCAAAGGACACGAGTACCCGATCAGGAACGGGTATGCGTAAAGGGCGCAGAAGCTAGGACGGTATACCCGAACCTCGTCCTCACCCGCTGGGATCAAGCCCACATGACAAAGAAGGCTGAGTCTAACCTTGAGCTCGGCTAATTGCTCAGTCGTGATAGCATATTTGAACCGCTCCATCACCATTTTCGGCGCCTTATGGAAGTCCGGTTTGGCATCTGGGTATCGGGGCATAATCTTCTCTACAGTGGGTAAACTTTCCTCCTCGGAAGCAATTTCGCCCTCTTCCCCCGATCGGGAAACACTACATCTAAAGGAACAGAGTGATCTTCCATATGAACGTTTGACGATTGGAAAGACATTGTTGCAGAGAAAAGATGGTGAAGCAAAATAGAATGACCATCGAAGAAAACAAAGAGTTAAAAGGGTTTTGCGAAGAAGATAAGGGAGAAGCTATTGCTTAAAAAGAAGGAAGAGTTTGAAAAACGTTTCTAAATCAACAAACCTTCCCCTATTTAAAAGGTTTGAGAGGCACCAGAATCAAAACGGCGGGTCATGATTAGCACGAAAATCAAAATGACATAGCCAATCAAGGGTCATACCTAAATCGATGCAATGTGTCGTGAAACATCGTCATTACGATGCATGATGTCATGACGTCACTTTTTCTCTTGGACCAGATGGTTCCAACAGACTTCCCGAGAAATTAAAAAATTTCAAAATATGCGGACCTTAGAAAGCCACGTAGCCCTGTCTTCACAACCATAACCTACATAGACAACTCTGTAGGATTGTATCATAAACGACATTGTCCATTTACCGACCTCGTCTGCAGGAATGACCTTGATAAGCGGGGACTAACTGTATGGGTCAAAATCCATCTTTAGTCGAAATGGTATTAGTAAAACATTCTTGAGACGCCACGTGCCGAAGTAATCTAATTAAAAATGAAGGTCGTGGTTGAAGAGTCAGCAAGGGATGAGGTCGAAGAGTCATAATGGATCGAGGCCGAGGTCGAGCACCCTTGACAAAGTTATAATACCTAGTTTCAAGATAGGACATAAAAGAAAATATTCTAGTGCATATTGTCTGCACTTGTACTGTTAGGGTTTTTAGAAACATGTTCCCTAAAAATAGAAAGAGACAAAATGATAAGGGATATGTGATATTCATTTGTAAAATACACTTTGACTTTAGAGAGAGAATCGGATCGTGTTGCAAGCATACAAACACCACCTTTTTAATAGGATTATGGTCTACACTTTTTCATTGGAT